ACCCCCAGCAACACCCTCAGCAACACCCCCAGCATCCCTAACATCCTCATTTCCTCTCACTGGCATTCTCCCCACCCCCAGCAACACCCCAGCAACACCCCAGCAACATCCCAATATCCCTGGACATCCTCATCTCCTCTCACTGACCTTCTCCTCACCCCGCAACAACCCCAGCAATCCCTGACATCCTCATTTCATCTCACTGGCATTCTCCTCACCCCAGCAACACCCCAGCGTCCCTGACATCCTCATCTCCTCTCACTGGCATTCTCCTCACCCCAGCAACACCCCAGCAACACCCCAGCATCCCTGACATCCTCATCTCCCCCCACTGGCACTTTCCACACCAGCAACACTCCAATCATCCTCCCCTCCACACACAGGCACTCTCCCCACCCCCAGCAACACCGCCAGCATCCTCCCCTCCTCTCACTGGCACTCTCCTCACCCCAGCAACACCCCAGCATCCCTGACATCCTCATCTCCTCTCTCTGGCATTCTCCTCACCCCAGCAACACCCCAGCATCCCTGATATCCTCATCTCCTCTCACTGTCGTTCTCCTCACCCAAGCAACACCCCAGCATCCCTGACATCCTCATCTCCTCTCACTGGCATTCTCCTCACCCAAGCAACACCCCAGCATCCCTGACATCCTCATCTCCTCTCACTGGCATTCTCCTCACCCCAGCAACATCCCAGCATCCCTGACATCCTCATCTCTCCTCACTGGCACTTTCCCCACACCAGCAACACTCCAATCATCCTCCCCTCCACACACAGGCACTCTCCCCACCCCCAGCAACACCGCCAGCATCCTCCCCTCCTCTCACTGGCACTCTCCTCACCCCAGCAACACCCCCAGCATCCCTAACATCCTCCACTCACTGTCACTCTTCCCACACCAGCAATACCCCTACCTTCCTCCCCTCCACACGCAGGCACTCTCCCCACCCCAGTGGCACCACTGGGGAGAACGTCATCCTTCACTATCTACATAGGAAGCAGCGGGCTCCTGGTAATGATGAAAGATAGCCCTCCTGATGCATATTTCCTTTGAAATCACAGTGACAGCCTGAAGTATGCCTTGTTAGGCAGGTGGAGCTGTGAGAGGCAGGGGAAGGAAGGGTAGCAGGCAAGGAGAGGGAGGAGAGAAGGCAGGGAGAGGGAGGAGAGAAGGCAGGGAGAGGGAGGAGAGAAGGCAGGGGAGGGAGGTGAGAAGGCAGGGAGAGGGAGGTGAGAAGGCAGGAAGGGAGGTGAGAAGGCAGGGAGAGGGAGGAGAGAAGGCAGGGAGAGGAGGAGAGAAGGCAGGGAGAGGGAGGAGAGAAGGCAGGAGAGGGAGGAGAGAAGGCAGGGAGAGGGAGGAGAGAAGGCAGGGAGGGGAGGAGAGAAGGCAGGAGAGGGAGGAGAGAAGGCAGGGAGAGGAGGATAGCAGGCAGGGAGAGGGAAAAGCAGCAGGGAAAGAGGAGAGGAGGCAGGGAGAGAGAGGGAATCAGGCAGAGAGAGGGAGGGTAGAGGCAGGGAAAGGACCATAACATTGACTGAATCATAACATGGTACAATTTCGTGTTATGGTACAATTTAGTGTTGTGGTACAATTCAGTGTTATGGTACAATTTAGTGTTGTGGGTACAATTTAGTGTTGTTGTACAATTCAGTGTTATGGCACAAGTCAATGTTGTGGTACAAGCCAGCGTTATGGTATAAGCCAGTGCTATGATACAAGCCAGTGTTATGGTACAAGCCAGTGTTATGGTACAGTCAGTGTTATGGTACAAGCCAGTGTTATGGTACAAGCCAGTGTTATGGTTACAAGCCAGTGTTATGGTACAAGCCAGTGTTATGGTACAAGTCAGTGTTATGGTACAAGCCAGTGTTATGGTACAAGCCAGTGTTATGGTACAAGCCAGCGTTATGGTACAAACCAGTGTTATGGTACAAGCCAGTGTTATGATACAAGCCAGTGTTATGGTACAAGCCAGTGTTATGGTACAAGCCAGTGTTATGGTACAAGCCAGTGTTATGGTACAAGTCAGTGTTTAGGTTACAAGCCAGTGTTATGGTACAAGCCAGTGTTATGGTACAAGCCAGTGTTGTGGTACAAGCCAGTGTTATGGTACAAGCCAGTGTTATGGTACAAGCCAGTGTTATGGTAACAAGCCAGTGTTATGGTACAAGCCAGTGTTATGGTACAAGCCAGTGTTGTGGTACAAGCCAGTGTTATGGTACAAGCCAGTGTTATGGTACAAGCCAGTGTTTGTGGTACAAGCCAGTGTTTTGGTACAAGCCAGTGTTTATGGTACAAGCCAGTGTTATGGTACAAGCCAGTGTTATGGTACAAGCCAGTGTTATGGTACAAGCCAGTGTTATGGTACAAGCCAGTGTTATGGTACAAGCCAGTGTTATGGTACAAGCCATGTTATGTACAAGCCAGTGTTATGGTACAAGCCAGTGTTATGGCACAAGCCAGTGTTATGGTACAAAGCCAGTGTTATGGTACAAGCCAGTGTTATGGTACAAGTCAGTGTTATGGTACAAGCCAGTGTTATGGTACAAGCCAGTGTTATGGTACAAGTCAGTGTTATGGTACAACCCCAGTGTTATGGTACAAGCCAGTGTTATGTACAAGCCAGTGTTATGGTACAAGCCAGTGTTATGGTACAAGCCAGTGTTATGGTACAAGCCAGTGTTATGGTACAAGCCAGTGTTATGGTACAAGCCAGTGTTATAGTACAACCCAGTGTTTATGGTACAAGCCAGTGTTATGGTACAAGCCAGTGTTATGGTACAAGCCAGTGTTATGGTACAAGCCAGTGTTATGGTACAAGCCAGTGTTATGGTACAAGCCAGTGTTATAGTACAAGCCAGTGTTATGGTACAAGCCAGTGTTATGGTACAAGCCAGTGTTATGGTACAAGCCAGTGTTATGGTACAAGCCAGTGTTATGGTACAAGCCAGTGTTATGGTACAAGCCAGTGTTATGGTACAAGCCAGTGTTATGGTACAAGCCAGTGTTTATGGTACAAGCCAGTGTTATGGTACAAGCCAGTGTTATAGTACAAGCCAGTGTTATGGTACAAGCCATGTTATGGTACATAGAGTCATCACCAAAAGACTAAGTATCAAACACATTCTTCGAGAGTATCACCAAGTATAAATCCCTATGACATCTTCCCGTCGTGAGTAAAGTCTTCCGAATAAGGGATGCTGATGAAGTCATAGACATGAGGAAATACTGCATGTAGGCCGTAGGCTGCAGGCTGCAGGCTCCTACATATAGACTGCAACACAATATTTGACACGAATTGTGTCAGATATTATTTGGCGTGCTAAAGGGTCATCTTGGAAATAAAGACAAGTTACAGTGTTATTATTATTGTTAATTTGAGATTCCATCTCGCTTGATCTCGACCTGACTATCTATTATGGATAGATAATAGAATATCCGTTGTTTATATGCAATGGATATTCCGTAAGGAGCTCTCAGCTTATTTTGTATAAACTACTGGAGAACTATAAACTAGCCACTACCATCCACAGGGTGGATATGAGGTACACAATAAACTAGCCACTACCATCCACAGGATGGATATGAGGTACACAAAAAAACTAGCCATTACCATCCACAGGTGGATATGAGGTACACAATAAACTAGCCGCTACCATCCACAGGGTGGAATGAGGTACACAGTAAAACTAGCCACTACCATCCACAGGGGGGATATGAGGTACACAATAAACTAGCCACTACCATCCACAGGATGGATATGAGGTACACAATAAACTAGCCACTACCATCCACAGGGTGTATGAGGTACACAATAAAGTAGCCACTACCATCCACAGGATGTATGAGGTACACAATAAACTAGCCACTACCATCCACAGGATGTATGAGGTACACAATAAACTAGCCACTACCATCCACAGGATGGATATGAGGTACACAATAAACTAGCCACTACCATCCACAGGATGGATATGAGGTACACAATGAACTAGCCACTACCATCCACAGGGTGGATATGAGGTACACAATAAACTAGCCACTACCATCCACAGGATGGCTATGAGGTACACAATAAACTAGCCACTACCATCCACAGGGTGGATATGAGGTACACAATAAACTAGCCACTTACCATCCACAGGATGGATATGAGGTACACAATAAAACTAGCCACTACCCATCCACAGGATGGATATGAGGTACACAATAAACTAGCCACTACCATCCACAGGATGGATATGAGGTACACAATAAACTAGCCACTACCATCCACAGGGTGGATATGAGGTACACAATAAACTAGCCACTACCATCCACAGGATGGATATGAGGTACACAATAAACTAGCCACTACCATCCACAGGATGGCTATGAGGTACACAATAAACTAGCCACTACCATCCACAGGGTGGATATGAGGTACACAATAAACTAGCCACTACCATCCACAGGATGGCTATGAGGTACACAATAAACTAGCCACTACCATCCACAGGATGGATATGAGGTACACTATAAACTAGCCACTACCATCCACAGGGTGGATATGAGGTACACAATAAACTAGTTGAATAAGACACATGTACAACACCTGTGTGTCTTTATTGATGAATAAGACATTACATCTAACATATGTGGAATATCTATAAGGGTGATAATGAGTGCCACGACTAGTGCCATAAGTGCCACCACAACTGGCATCACAAGCGCCATTCTGAACGCCACCATAAGTGCCAACATGAGTGTCAATAGAGGTGCCAGCACCTGGGGGCGTGTGTCCCCCACAAACAATAGGTCAGAAACAACTTAGACGAGAGACACAATAGGTTTTGACACCTGCGGCCGCAGGCAGCCAATCAGAGCAGCCCTTATCGCCACTCTCGGCCAATCATTAACATAATCAATCGCCAGGCTCCGCCCCTCCAGAGGATCGCGAGTATATAAAGGGGAACGCAAGAGAAAACGGGCTCAGTTACTTTATGTTCATTGATGGTTGAGGTTCTCCTGTGTGTCTGAACCACTGATGCCCGTGTGAATGGAGAGGTTCACCTCGCTCTAAGGAACTACAGCCGTTCTAACTATCCGGTCTCGGATACTAGCAGGCTCCTTCTGCTGGTGCTATTTCTACTACTACTAGCGCCTACCTGCTGGAACTTAGTCTAATCTTAGAAGGTAAATATTTGTGGCAGCTATTTAGGTTGTGATTGAGGACGGAGGTTCGAGCCTTCTCTACGTGTTATTTGTGACCACAAGTGTTTAACGCTTACAGTAAGAAATTTATTATTAAAAAGAAAATGCAGATTTATTGTCTGATAGCTAATGAAAAAATATTTATTATTATTATTATTATTATTATTATTATTATTATATTATTATTATTATTATTATTATTATTATTATTATTATTATTATTATTATGATACCAAAAGTTGTAGACGTGTGTGTGTGTGTGTGTGTGTGTGTGTGTTGTGTGTGTGTGTGTGGTGTGTTGTGTGTGTGTGTGTGTGTGTGTGTGTGTGTGTGTAGCAGGTTATATACCTTGTGGCAGCTGGTTGAAGAGTCTTGGTCCGCGCATGTTGACATAATGTTCTCTTATTGTGCCAAGGTTGCCCCTGATAATCACTGGGTTTATTTTACTCTCCTTCCATACCTGTCACTGCAGTGTTGTTATAGCAGTGTGTAGAGCTATATCTGTCACTGCATGTTGTTATAGCAGTGTGTAGAGCTATATCTGTAACTGCAGTGTTGTTATGGCTGCACTTTCCAGGTATATATTATCAAGCACCTCTATCTCATTCGCTCCAGAGAGTACTATTTAGGACACTGAGGCGTTCCCAGTAACGTAAATGCTTCATTGGCTCTATGTGGGCCGTAAATAAACTCTACATCTGCAAAAGCTCTGCTCTATTTCTCCTACTTCCAACGAAGCTGTGAGCACACAGTAATATTCTAGACATGGAAGGAGAAAATGACTGAGAAAGAGCCACACCACTGTTGAGAAAGTTCTCGTTATCCACTCTATCATTCTCGTGGCCTTGGCTGCATCTGCCTTTCTCTTCCCAGACAAAAGAGCCTCTGGCATTATTTAGAGGTCTTTTGTTTACCTTGGTCTCTAGGTGAGTGTAAGATTTTTTTCTGATTTCTAACCCAGGAAGGTTAGCCACCCAGGATGACCCAGGGGGAGGGTTAGCCAGCCAGGATGACCCAGGGGGAGGGTTAGTCACCCAGGATGACCCAGGGGGAGGGTTAGCCAGCCAGGATGACCCAGGGGGGGTTAGCCAGCCAGGATGACCAAGGGGGAGGGTTAGCCAGCCAGGATGACCCAGGGGGAGGGTTAGCCACCCAGGATGACCCAGGGGGAGGGTTAGCCACCCAGGATGACCCAGGGGGAGGGTTAGCCAGCCAGGATGACCCAGGGGGAGGGTTAGCCACCCAGGATGACCCAGGGGGAGGGTTAGCCACCAGGATGACCCAGGGGGAGGGTTAGCCACCCAGGATGACCCAGGGGGAGGGTCAGCCACCCAGGATGACCCAGGGGGAGGGTCAGCCACCCAGGATGACCCAGGGGGAGGGTTAGCCACCCAGGATGACCCAGGGAGAGGGTTAGCCAGCCAGGATGACCCAGGGGGAGGGTTAGCCAGCCAGGATGACCCAGGGGGAGGGTTAGCCAGCCAGGATGACCCAGGGGGAGGGTTAGCCACCCAGGATGAACCAGGGGGAGGTTAGCCACCCAGGATGACCCAGGGGGAGGGTTAGCCACCCAGGATGACCCAGGGGGAGGGTTAGCCACCCAGGATGACCCAGGGGGAGGGTTAGCCAGCCAGGATGACCCAGGGGAGGGGTTAGCCAGCCAGGATGACCCACGTAAGTAAGTTTATTCAGGTACACACAGTTACACAGATCATCATACATAACAACACATGGGTAGACAACCTGGGGTAACATAAATAAGTCAGACTCACTGACTTATTTACATTGTGGTTCTTTTACCTTAATATTATAATATAAAGGTTATAATATTTTCCTATTATTTTATAATGAAGATAACATCTTATTATTAAACTAAAAAGACCATCTACTACACGAGGGTCATTAAGACTGTCTACTACACGAGGGTCATTAAGACTGTCTACTACACGAGGGTCATTAAGACTATCTACTACACGAGGGTCATTAAGACTGTCTACTACACGAGGGTCATTATGACTATCTACTACACGAGGGTCATTAAGACCATCTACTACACGAGGGTCATTAAGACTATCTACTACACGAGGGTCATTAAGACTATCTACTACACGAGGGTCATTAAGACTATCTACTACACGAGGGTCACTAAGACTATCTACTACACGAGGGTTATTAAGACTGTCTACTACACGAGGGTCATTATGACTATCTACTACACGAGGGTCATTAAGACTATCTACTACACGAGGGTCATTAAGACTATCTACTACACGAGGGTCATTAAGACTATCTACTACACGAGGGTCATTAAGACTATCTACTACACGAGGGTCATTAAGACTATCTACTACACGAGGGTCATTAAGACTATCTACTACACGAGGGTCATTAAGACTATCTACATACTACGAGGTCATTAAGACTATCTACTACACGAGGGTCATTAAGACTATCTACTACACGAGGGTCATTAAGACTATCTACTACACGAGGGTCATTAAGACTATCTACTACACGAGGGTCATTAAGACTATCTATCTACACGAGGGTCATTAAGACTATCTACTACACGAGGGTCATTAAGACTATCTACTACACAAGGGTCATTAAGACTATCTACTACACGAGGGTCATTAAGACTATCTACTACACGAGGGTCATTAAGACTATCTACTACACGAGGGTCATTAAGACTATCTACTACACGAGGGTCATTAAGACTGTCTACTACACGAGGGTCATTAAGACTGTCTACTACACGAGGGTCATTATGACTATCTACTACACGAGGGTCATTAAGACTATCTACTACACGAGGGTCATTAAGACTATCTACTACACGAGGGTCATTAAGACTGTCTACTACACGGGGTCATTAAGACTATCTACTACACGAGGGTCATTAAGACTATCTACTACACGAGGGTCATTAAGACTATCTACTACACCGAGGGTCATTAAGACTGTCTACTACACGAGGGTCATTAAGACTGTCTACTACACGAGGGTCATTAAGACTATCTACTACACGAGGGTCATTAAGACTATCTACTACACGAGGGTCATTAAGACTATCTACTACACGAGGGTCATTAAGACTATCTACTACACGAGGGTCATTAAGACTATCTATCTACTACACGAGGGTCATTAAGACTATCTACTACACGAGGGTCATTAAGACTATCTACTACACGAGGGTCATTAAGACTATCTACTACACGAGGGTCATTAAGACTATCTACTACACGAGGGTCATTAAGAGTATCTACTACACGAGGGTCATTAAGACTATCTACTACACGAGGGTCATTATGACTATCTACTACACGAGGGTCATTAAGACTATCTACTACACGAGGGTCATTAAGACTATCTACTACACGAGGGTCATTAAGACTATCTACTTACACGAGGGTCATTAAGACTATCTACTACACGAGGGTCATTAAGACTATCTACTAAACACGAGGGTCATTAAGACTATCTACTACACGAGGGTCATTAAGACTATCTACTACACGAGGGTCATTAAGACTATCTACTACACGAGGGTCATTAAGACTATCTACTACACGAGGGTCATTAAGACTATCTACTACACGAGGGTCATTAAGACTATCTACTACACGAGGGTCATTAAGACTATCTACAATACGAGGGTCATTAAGACTATCTACTACACGAGGGTCATTAAGACTATCTACTACACGAGGGTCATTAAGACTATCTACTACACGAGGGTCATTAAGACTATCTACTACACGAGGGTCATTAAGACTATCTACTACACGAGGGTCATTAAGACTATCTACTACACGAGGGTCATTAAGACTATCTACAACACGAGGGTCATTAAGACTATCTACTACACGAGGGTCATTAAGACTGTCTACTACACGAGGGTCATTAAGACTATCTACTACACGTAGGGTCATTAAGACTACAACACGAGGGTCATTAAGACTATCTACTACACGAGGGTCATTAAGACTATCTACTACACGAGGGTCATTAAGACTATCTACAACACGAGGGTCATTAAGACTATCTACTACACGAGGGTCATTAAGACTATCTACTACACGAGGGTCATTAAGACTATCTACTACACGAGGGTCATTAAGACTGTCTACTACACGAGGGTCATTAAGACTATCTACTACCAGAGGGTCATTAAGACTATCTACTACACGAGGGTCATTAAGACTATCTACTACACGAGGGTCATTAAGACTATCTACTACACGAGGGTCATTAAGACTATCTACAATACGAGGGTCATTAAGACTATCTACTACATGAGGGTCATTAAGACTATCTACTACACGAGGGTCATTAAGACTATCTACTACACGAGGGTCACTAAGACTATCTACTACACGAGGGTCACTAAGACTATCTACTACACGAGGGTCATTAAGACTATCTACAACACGAGGGTCATTAAGACTATCTACTACACGAGGGTCATTAAGACTATCTACTACACGAGGGTCATTAAGACTATCTACTACACGAGGGTCATTAAGACTATCTACTACACGAGGGTCATTAAGACTATCTACAATACGAGGGTCATTAAGACTATCTACTACATGAGGGTCATTAAGACTATCTACTACACGAGGGTCATTAAGACTATCTACTACACGAGGGTCATTAAGACTATCTACTACACGAGGGTCATTAAGACTATCTACAATACGAGGGTCATTAAGACTATCTACTACACGAGGGTCATTAAAACTATCTACAATACGAGGGTCATTAAGACTATCTACTACATGAGGGTCATTAAGACTATCTACTACACGAGGGTCATTAAGACTATCTACTACACGAGGGTCACTAAGACTATCTACAATACGAGGGTCATTAAGACTATCTACTACACGAGGGTCATTAAGACTATCTACTACACGAGGGTCATTAAGACTATCTACTACCACGAGGGTCATTAAGACATATCTACTACACGA